CTAATAGCTCTCATTGATGTAGGTTCGTAACCAGTATAAGACTGCGTAGAGTATTCAAAATCAGAGTCAGGTCCACCAGGACAATATATACAAATATTTCCTGTCATATTAATGTGAGGACATCTATGAGGTTTACACATTACAGCCACAACAGCAATCTACAAAAATCAAATTGAATATAGTAAAACTATGATTTACAGACAATTTGCAATTATAATTATATTCTCATAATAAAATAAAATATTAACCCCACTGGCTGTTCTAATAGGTTTTGCTTTTAATTTTGGTATTAATATATTTCTTGCATCAATAGGAACAGCTGCTATAATATCAACCAATCTTGGTGAAGTTTCCAAGCCATATTTAGAAGCAATTCGTGTTTTTAGTTTATTTAAATCAATATCTCTGTTTTCATCGTGTGCTTTCAATAGTTCTTGTATAATTTCTCCAATAGTCATAACCATACGTTCTTCCTTACTTTGTTCAAATTCTAAAATTAAATACAGCATACTTAATCAAATAGCAAAACTATCTTTTCTATCTTTCTATAAACGATACTGTAAAATAAATTATCATACATAAAATTTTTTTTCACAATAATTTACCTTTTCTCTTTTTCACCATTATGATATTTTTAAATAAAACGTATTACAAATAATGCAATTGCTACTATTTTTTGCAAGGTATAAATATTTATTGTTGAACAAGATTCAATTTTAAGGTTATGTTTGATAAAAGAGGTATGTTTCAGTCATTAACCAAGCATAAGTATGAACTTCGAAAAAAATTAGATTCTTTTGCGCCATCTGTGATTTATTACAGTAAAATAAGAATTTTAATTTAAAGCAATAAAAATACCAGCAATACCATTATTACAAACAGGGACAGTTATATAAAACAGTGTTTTGAAATAGCATTCATAATAAAGAAATTTTAACATTCATAAAAACTGAAATTAAATCACTTAAGACATGCTTATTTAAGTTAGATTAAAATATAAAACTACAGATAGTTTGTTAAATTAATTATTTTATTTAATAAACAAGAAAGATTGGGTAAGGGAATTTATTATATTTGGTTTCATGTTAATACGAAATACGCTGATGATGATTTAAGTATAACATCATAAGAATAGTAAAATATATTGCGATATTTAATCGATATGATTTCTTGCAATCGATTTATAATATTACGATGTAACGTAGAAGTATATTTTACGCGAGAAGGCGGAAGCATAGAAAAAAAGAGAATTATTCAGAAAGTCTCAAATAAAGATTATAATTAATAATTTTCAGACATTTTTTTGCAATACTAAATATAATTATGATTTAAAACAGTGAGCATTATAAAATAGTTATTACATGTGTGTGTGTGTATGTGTGTGTGTGTATATGTGTGCGCGTGTGTGTGTAATTAATCCAATTATTAAAGGATGTTAGAAATTAATACACATAATATATAAAAGATTTTTGCAAATATTCAACTAAATTAAATTAACATGCATAGACATACACAGATATTTATAAATTATAAATATATAAATATAGTTGAAAGAATTTTCATAAGATACTTTGTTTTTCGATAAATCTTATTTGTGTATTCAAGCCCCCCCCCCTCCACCAAATTAGTTCGCTGCGCAAACTTGTTGCGCA